TGAAGAACCATTGCTCATCCTCTCCGCCCATAACTCAGAGAAAATCACTGAGCTCCACCAATCTCTCATCCTGGAAAACCTCCTGATTAACGAGCGCCTTCAGCATCTCTCTGAACCATTCACTTCAAACACGGCCATTACTGTTGATTAGATATCAGGAAGAAAAAACGTGCCACATTTCAGAGAGTTTTTGGGATCGCTCCCACCTTCGGCTTCAGCGTTTGGCCTTTTATAATGACGCATTCCTTCATGCATGGGTTTTAATGGCGATGTATTCTGGAAGACATGACCGGGGGATTATGATAATGAATGAAGATCTCTGCGCTCGTCTCAAAGGGCATTTGAGAGACGTGAGGGAAGGAGGGAGGCTTGAAGAGGAGTGACGGGGGAGGAGAGGAGGACCAGGGGACACAATACAGACACTGCAGGTTCCATCTGTTCTGATTAAAAATGGAGCTCTAAGAATAAATCATGGGTTGTTGATCGCAGTCAGTGTTGTTCATGAATCAGAAAAGCATTGATGTACTTTTATGCATCGATAGCGATCATGAGATCAATCGGTGAGGTCATTAGAGGTAGAGCGGGTCATGGACTAACCAGAAGGTCTGTGGTTCAATCCCCCAGTGGATCTAGGAATTTCATTTCACTCTCTCTGCAGCGTTTCCCACAGAATTCAATCGTTGGCGCTGGGAGAGAATAATCACTGCAGCTGAAGATACGAGGTTTGATTTGCTGCGTGGACGGTAACAACTTTACGGACGAGTGCACAAACAAACAAGCTGCAGACAGCGAACTAGATAAATAACATGAAACGCTGCGTTGACATGGTCAGACAGGGCGGCAGCCTCAGAGCAGTCCGCCGAACGACTCTGCACTGGTTCAGCATGAGAGAATCAAGGTCCCAAGAACCTCGTGGTGATGAAAAGGTTCAAATTACTTTATAAATTGTCAGTTTGAAAAGCTGAATTTGATATAAGGCTTCATTTTTAATGAATCCATCCTCGTCCCTGAGCAGACAATTAAACAGAACAGTTTGTGGAGTGACGTGACGAAGAGCGAGGTGAGAATAACCTTCCTCTGCCTCGGTGTCTACCTCACACCTCGGGAGAATCTTTTTTATTTAACGTGAGAATTTGACGGAAAAGCCACAATTATGTTGTCAAATGAGCCGTTTCAGGGACAATTAACTTCCCCTGCACACGCCTGGGATTGGAAATCGCCCAGCTGCACGAGAACACGGAGGAAGAGCTCAGAGTTTCACACATACATGTCTCCTGCTGCACAAATTAAATCTACATACATGTATTATACATCTGCTCATATTTGTTTTGCGCTCACAGATGTGTTTTGCACGAGAGCGTGAGCATCACCTGTATTTCAGCTCTGCACACGTCATGTTTGCTTCCTCGCCTTAAATAATTCATCACACGCAGGCATCGCTGCTCCGCTTTGAAGAAGCATCCTCTCCACTTTTGCAGCATGTCAGTATTTACATGTACGACACGACAACGCCGAACACAGCTTTGTTTAACATAACGTGTGTCACACCAGGAAGAGACCGAGCAGCCTGTCTGTCGTAATGAGAGACGACAGACTCTTTTATTCTCTGATAGGAAACCTTTGCTCTGGAAAAACAGACCCCTCCGTTTCTGCTGAATTCCCGCAGGGAGCTCCAGGGCTGCCTCAACGTTTTCCAGCTTATTTAATCATGAAATTGAACGTGTTGCGTTAGAAAAGATTCAGATTGGAAAGTCACTTTGCGACAGTGATCGTGCCGTGAAGCAGTCATAATGGAGAACACGGCAGGAAGAGGTAGACGGGAGAGTGAAGGAGGGAAGCTGTCCTGAGTCAGACTTTAATGTTTATTCATGGTTTCTGGGCGATTCGGATCAACGACATGTGCAATGAGGAGCAGCAGCCGGGGTCACAGGGCTGGCGGCGTTATTTAAATCCTAATCCACGGCTTACGTCGCCTCCATCCCTCCGAATCTGTCTGATTCCGATGAATAGAAAACGTAATTGTCACTCATCTCGCACCGTGGGTTGTTATCCAGATGTGTACGAGTGGTCTCGTATAAAGAGACATCTGGTGGTTGGTTGTTTTTGGTTGAAAATGTTCGGTCTCGATGGAAACCTGAGGGGTGACGTGCACCTGAGCCGAGAGACGCGTCTTTTAGCATGCGGACCACCTGCTGTGAGGACGGAGCTGACGAGGGACAAACAGCAGACATCTGTTTGAGCCTCTGAGGTGACAGGCTGAGCTCGCTGAAGCTTTTTATGTGAAATGTGGTTTCATATCAATCGACTGGAAGAAAAACAACAACTAATCCTGAAAAGTTTCATGCTTTAAAAACATCAAATGAAACTTAATCTCTCCTGATTCGATTTCCTTTTTCTCGTTGATTCTTCAGCAAAGAATCGTTTAGTCCCTTTTGTGATGTGTTGAATTTCTCACATTGTTTGCAAATTGGCTTCCTGAATTGAAAATGAAATAACAATAATAACTGTGAGATAAATAGAAAATGGAAAAGGAGTTGTTGCATTTCGATTCTTAAGCTCGAAAGTCTAATTTCACCGGTGCTGACGCCGGTTGCGGTTTTCTTTCTGTAACAGTGACCTGCGGTAATTGAGCAGCAAACACGGAGCCACATTCAGACGGAAGGAGATTTCCGGAATTAGCAGACAGATGTTTACGATCCTCAGACTGCAGCCGTGAACCTCCCAGCAGCTCTGGCCTCAGCTTTTATTTTGGCCGCCACGGGGGGATAGAGAGTGAGACGGGATCACCTTTTATCCAGTGACTCTCTCTAAAACACCTTTCACTTTCTATTTTCTGGATGAGCAGCCTGCACCGTGTTAGCTCACAGGATCAGCTCGTCTCTCAGGCTCCTGTCCACCGCCACCTCTCGCTCCCTCTGAGCTCCCGTGTGTCTCTGGGTCTCTCTACCTCCGTCTTTCTCACTGATGTCGGTGAATCTTACACGCAAGCACCGTGTATCTGTATTTTATGCATGCATGTGTTTTTAATGTGTATGCATTTATTCACAGACGGAATGTGAATATACTGTGTATGGATATTTATCAGGTTTCATGTTGTGCATCCAGATCTCCGCTTTTATTACTGTGCACAAATCCACTCCCACTGTTAAACCCTTCCACACTGGGTAAACACACAATTTCCAATGCTCTCTCGCTGCTCAGACAAGTTGAATTTTTTCCCATTAACTTTCAATTCTGGGATTTCACACTCCACACTGTTCTGTACTCGGCTTTCCCCGGTGAAAAGCAGCACAACCTTTTCTCCTCATGCTCATTTCTCAGTTGAATAATCAGTAGGTTGCTTGTTTGGACTATACAATCAAAAGAGCAATTGCAATAATAGACACAATATCTCTCACTCACACGAGGCGCACAGCCGCCACAGATACACACATTTCCTTGCCTGCATAACTCAGACTGCGAAAAATATATATTTCTATTTCCAAAGTTCTGGCTTCCTTTTCTCTGATTTGAAAATTAGTTACCATTTGCACAGCTGCTGCCTCGAGATTATACATCGTGTTTCCTGTTAAGAACGCGCTTTCAAAGTTGAAGAAAAGCTGGGCGACACCGAAAGCAGCAGAAATAATCGGTTATGTGCTCGACGCGACACCGAGCTCGCATCAGTGACTGGGAATTTAACCTGCGCTTTATTATTACGCCTGCAAACTGCGTGAGACACGTAAACTGCTGCGAGTAGATCTGTGGTTGGTGTTCGACAGCTGCTGCTGCCGGGTGTGAAAGTTTAAACAGCTCGAAGCCTCGTAAGAGTGTTTCCATTAAATGTAAGAATTCATCATCTCTTTGTAAACTAAAGGAAGAATTTGAAAGATCATTTCTATAATTCCAAAAAAGGAGAAAGACTCAAACCGGCCAAAGGACAAAAGAGGAGCTACTTCTGTCAGACACTGACCAGAAAACTTTGCAAATTACGTCTCAGACCCAGAACAGAGTAAAAACAGCAGTGATTCATCACGTCAACCCGCACAGAGACTTAATGGATGAGGGGCAGTAAAGTGCAGTTGAGAGCTCGAAACAAAACTCAGACGCTGCAGGAATCACAAAGAGGAGAAGAAGCTAACGACTGCAGCGTCACTTCTTAAGGCTCATTCATGAACGTTAGATACGAACTCTACAACGCTCCACAATGTACTGCCCTCTAGTGGATGCATTGATTAACAACCAAGCTCGCTCACAATCATTTCTCTCCCTCTGCTGCTCCGTCTCCCATCATCGCAGATCATCTTTTCTGGCTTTGTCCTTACCTGCCGCACAGCCGCACACCTGAGACCCAGTGCAGCCGCCTCCGTTCGTCATCTGCTCGGCTCGCTTCACGATTCCCTCCGTCTCGCACGCACGCACACACGCGTCTGTCGCTCCATCGATTTCTGTTTCAGAGGCAAAGATTATACACGTGTTACAAGATGGATATTTTCAGATTTCTACACACTCGAAACCTGATGACTTTAAAACACGTCATTGCTATTATTACTTATAGCAACAACACTTATTCTTGTCCTTTTAAAACAAAACTGCACAACATGACCTACTTCATGTGCATCAGCGGAGACGGAGAGATAAAAAGAATTGTGCCAGGATAGTACTACACACACACACACACAGTCTTGTTCGTCCTTGTCAGTGTGACCTGCTGCGTTGGCTGAAGAAAACAAGCAAATTGATGATGTCGTGAACTGTGTAACAGACGAGGTGGACGGACGACTGAGAATAGATGTGAGAGCTGAGGAGGAGGAGACATGACTGAACAGTTAGAGGAGTAAAAAACACTGCACGGCACAAATACACAGCACTCACATCAGTCACCGGTGCAGCAGTTATTTCAATTCTAAAGCAACCGATCACTGGTGTTATATCTGATCAGGGATCAGATTCAACATGGGGCGCAGGGGAAAACAAGGAGCAACGATTTTTTAGTATTTTTACTTTCCTCTCCTGGATTTTTTATTTTATTCTGAACCGTTATTTGTGTTTAACTTCTCCGTCTGCTTTGTGCTCAACAAAAGAACAAGAGAGTGAACACAAGCAGATCAACATTTGCTGCGTGACGACGCCCGGAGCATTGAGTTGGAGGCAGGGGGGTTAAACTGGCCTCCGTCCAGCCGACATGAGCCTTGGCAGCCTGTGACTGGCTGCAGGACGAGCCTCAGCCTGGTCCCCAGGTTCAGCTGCATCTGGATGACGGCCATGAACAGCTGAGGGAGAGAGGGAACGACGGGGGGAGAGAGAGAGAGAGAGAGACCTTGAAAACAATCCAGAAAGAAAAATCTGTTGATGCTTTATATATTTTTTATTGTCAACAAACCCAAAGAAAAGTGTTGTATCCACAGCCTGATACAGATTTTCCCTCCGAGCCACAGATCTCCTTTGCATTAAGAACATAGCGTCTCTCGTTTATTCTGAGTCCGTCCCCACACAAACTCTCCTGCTGCCGGAAAATACTCACTAAAATATATATTAATCCACGGCTGAATATTTTCTCGTCATCGGGCTCCATGTGAGCTGAGCGCCGGAGACACGTAGAAGTAGAGGGAGAGTACTTATACACAAGTTCTGTCTCTTCGAATTCAACTTTATACACACAGCTACTTTGGAATAGAAAAATATGTGACGAGGGAACGAGGAGCAGATACTGTCCTGGGCGCCTTCCCATCGGAGGTCATCTGGGCTCGTCCGACCGGTAACAGTCCCTCGGGGTCGTCTCAGAATACGCAGGAGAGATTTTGTGTCTCATCGGGCCTGAAAAAGGCCTCGGGATCCGGGAGGAGGAGCCGGAAAACGTCACTGGGCAGAGAGGAACGTGTGGACTCGACATGTGACCGACCCCGGATAGGCAGCAGACGATGGATGGAAGTCAGCAGTGCACCTTGACCACCTCTGCGGCCGAAAGTTAGGGTTAGAGCTCATTTTGCACGTCTTCACCAAACTCACAACAATTTATAATGTGTACCACAACTGTAAACTCTGGGAGACACTGTGGAGCGTCCAGATAAAACATGTGCATCCAACAGAAATAACAGGTCAACCTGTTAAAAACCTTTTTCATTCATGTGGAAACGACTGCAGCAGTGGAAACGAGTGGTAAATGTCATTCAAATGAAGTTCTTCCAAAAGGAATCACAATCAGATCAGAATCGGTTCACCTTGAGAAACGGTTGCACAAAAGAAACTAAATTATCTTCTCGGTTAAGAAACGAGCAGTGGCTGGTTTCGTTGCCAGCAGGTTCTCCCGGACTTTAGATGAACTTTCCTTGTGCATCTCCGGCTGCTAAATCTGTATAATCTTTTAAATCACTTCTTAAATCCCTCTGCTACAGAAAAACATCCAAGTAATGATCTTCACTGTCCACGACTCACCTTCTTCTGGTGCTTTGATGTTCTTTGCTTTTCTTTCATCTTCTCTTTCTTTACTGTTGATTTTGTTGTTTTTCTCTAAATTATTCATCCATGTTCAGAGATGTTGCAGCATCGCTGTCATTACTGATTCAACCGAATGCAACACACGTGCAGCAGAATCAAAGCTTTTTTACAAACTTCAGGAGGACGCGTTGTGTTAAAACCGTTCAACAAGCAAAACGAAAGCTTGAATACACAACCGTCTTCAAACGCACATACATGACACTTGAGCCAGAGACATAGTTACACATCGTGACCCTCGTGCATGTCTTGTATGTCCCAAATCCTTATGTTTATCAGCTGTGCACGTCCTTAAGAATCAGAGCAGTTGTGTCTCAGAAAAAAAGACATTTAATAGAAAATCTGTTGATTGATTAATTGATTACTTCACTAATTAATGATAAACGAAGTAATATGGTTCTGAGGTGTTGTGAGTTGTAAATATACTGCAGATTAAACACACTAATGAGCAAGATATATATAAAGAACATGATATATATATATGTAGGCAGGAAGCAGATTATTACTAACGGCTAATTTCCACACAAACATTCAGCATATTCCTCTTTATTGTTGTTCTGATAAGGTCACTTGTGAAGGAACTAATTAACGAGTGGAGAGTCCTGAACGCTGCTAATGAAACTATGAATATTCTTCCAGTAGAATTGACAGCGTGGACGAACGCACACAGCAGAGCTACCGAGCGGCTAAACACAGGATTATATGCGAAACACACAAATGCAATTTAATGCAAATTAATTCAAAAATAATTATCATCTTGTGTGATGCGTCAAGGTCTAATGAAAGTTGATTTCTCTGTGTTTAACTATTCCTGGCACAGTGTATCGCTAACCGAGGTCACACAGGACAATGTGGTGGAGTTAAAACAGAGAACAATGCATTTTAAATGAGTCCATGTTCAGGATGAACGAGTCGCGAACAGTAAGTGACTGTTAAAATGTTTAGAGAAGAGTGAACACTGTGTTTTGGAGTCTGGTCTTTTTTAGAAAGAGTTTGACATCATTTGGACGAGAAAAGATCAAGGCAGCGTTTTGTTTTTTTAATTTATTATGGAAGAAGCATTAACGCACGACTCGGAGCCGCAGACGAGAGCAAACAGACTCTGGTGTTTTAATGAGCTTCGTGTTGTGACGCACATTCATTTGTTTCATTTTCATGTTTTCTTTCCAAATTCCAGATGTGGTATCGTGATGCGTCAACTGATAAAAAAAATACATCTCTTGTTAGTTCGTAGATTATATCAAATTTTATTAGCGGCATGACGGATGTTTCCCGCACACAGAATATTTAGTTAACTCCTCACGCTTCAGGATTATCCGGGGAAATAAACGCCCCCGCGCTTGTCTGAAGGGGCGACTCAGGTCTATCATCACGCCTTTAATCGCCCCGATGATCCTCTAGCATGCAGCAAATCTGAGAGACAATATACTTCTGATTTGATTAAACTCAGATCTTTCACTTTGTTTTGTGTTTAGTGTTGTGAAGCACTTTGTTGTCTCAGAACTTCTCGTTATTACATCATATACCGAGCATCATAATGACAAGGGGTCAACAAAAGTTTAAAATCATTGCACCTGGGTAAGTGTGTGTTCTGTGTCATGTTTCCTGCACACAGGCCCGACTCGTGCAGTCGCAGTATTTTTCTTGATGACACGCCGGCTCATCAATACAACTGAAGAGACTGTTTCTCACTCTGCTTTCATAATTATGATAAAAGATCTGTCTGCAGGGGGGAAACACAGATCGTTCATTCGCCGTGTCGCAGTCACCAGGGAGAGAAACATGCACGTGCAACACACACACAACAGAGTATATATCTATCACAATTAATTCAGGTCAAAATACATACATTTACTTATTAAAAGCGCGTATTTGTTGAATTAGAACAATATAAATGAAGTTGTCATAACAGAGTATGCATATAATTAGATTGTAAAGGGTTTTCGGTTTACGACTGCAGTGCAGCTGGTGAGTAAGATATGAGCTAAATGAGGCTAAAGAAGAATACCCCAAAACGGAGAGGTGGATGAGAACAAAGAAAAGAAAAGAAAGCAACAATACAACCTGACGAGTACAAAGAACAAGAGACATGATGAAAGAACAAAAAAGGACGGATGAAAGGAAAGTGGCGTGGAGCCAGAGGAGACGCGGTGAGAGCTGCTGTGCTTGCGGTGGCGGTGCTGACGGCTCGGCCGACGTGGCCGGCGGTGATGAATCGGTGCTGTCAGGAGAAGCCAAACAAACAGAGATCTGTATAGTGGGTGACAACGCTCCTCCGGGCGCCGCCACGAACAATGACCTTCCCCCCACAGGCTGCGTCACGACGGCTGCAGAGATCTGGCCGGACGCGCGTGCTGGAGGTATACAGCTGTTTGTTGTTGCATGGATCTGCATCGAGTCCACACAGCTCGGGGGAAAAAACAACCTGCTGCTTTTTGAGAAATAAACATCGAGAGCACCGTCCGTCCTTTCGGAGGAAGGATCCCTCACCCGTGACTCTCCCTGAGGATTCTGGGTCTTTCCCAAGTTTGAGGATGGAGGATACTGCACCCAGCACAGATCGTTAGTCTGGACGACGCAAACTGGGATTTACGAACAAAACTAGATTTGACAAATACTGACAAATACTGACAAATACTGACAAATACTGACATATACTGACATATACTGACAAATACTAACAAATACTGACATATACTGGCCAGACTTATCGTTCAACTCTGTCCTCACTGCAGTTCTTGTTTCCTTCCAGCTCGATTCCCCCTGGAATCATATTTATCCAGTATCCTTTGGATGATTCTGTGATTTATCTGCAGTACCGATGCTGATGCAGCGTATTACTTCAGTACTCAGGGAGCTGTGTGTGTGTGTGTGTGTGTGTGTGTGTATGTCAGAGTTTGTGTCTCAGGCAATAACACAAAGTCCTCAAATGACTGTTTTCCCAATTATTTCAATACAATAAAAACTGTTCTGCAGCCGCACGATGTCAGCTGTGTATTCGAGCGTCAGTATTTGTGATTCATCGTTTGTGTCTGACTAATGCGGACTTATATTATGGCTCTCATGTGCCGTGTGACTCATGCATTAGCATGGAGATGTCAGATAGAGTTTAATATACATGAATATGAATAAGGTAACGAGATGTTTACACAGCGAGAGATGAAATTACAGATGTTTGCTCAGATGAGAGGGAAACAGTCTGAGGACAGGTGACGTTCACCGACTCCGAAAACCCAGAGAGTGGAATCCAGAGGACGACGCGACGAATCAGTGAATCAATTATTTGTCTGGTGCACAAACACAAACTGCATGAATGACAAGAGAAGAGGGGGAGGGGTTATTCAGGTGATTTAGGCCCGAGGCTTCGCTCAGCGCGTCGTCACATTGTGGTTTTAAAAACAGCAGGTTGTAATTAACAACCAGGTGGATCTGAAACGTCACCGTGAAGCGGAAGAAGCTCTCAAGGTCAAATGGATTCACAGGTTTAAGGTTTGCTGAGCATCAAGCTCCATATTCAGTGTATTTCAACACACTGCAGTTCAAGTCTTTCCATGAAATATTCTGGATTTCTGGGTTAAAAGTGTAAAATACAAAGGGAAAGTCCACAAACGTCTACTTTTGTCCAATCAATGGTCAAACAAACCCCAAACTGTTCAAATGAGACGAGGACGAAATGACAACAATGGCAGAACTTTTTGAGGAGAGACTTGAGTGAGTTGGAAAGAAACTAGAGTCATCTACATGAATGAGTGTTAAGTGTGTGTGAAGTGTGTGGTTG